CAGGCAGCAACAGCAACTGCGTCAGGCGCAACAGGCCCAAGGTAGGCCCCACACTTCCCTCACTCCCCGTATCGCGACCAGCCTCCCAAGGCATACGAACGTACTCCAACTCAACTTCAACGGACTCCAGAGCAAGATTGAGGAGATAGCAGTCTTCATGGGTCGGCACGGCATATTGATAGCTGCGGTCCAAGAAACGAAGTTGCACAGCAACTCAACTTTGTTGGGTTGCGCCGCCTACAATGTGCTCCGTAAAGATCGCGAGCGAGATAATGGTGGAGGATTAGCGTTCATTCTACACAACACAGTGCAGTATCGGCTAATCGAAGAAGACATCGACTCAAGGGACACTACCCTAGAATGTCAGGGCATAACTGTCCGGTCAGACGACGTCGAGCTCGAAATATTTAACGTGTACATACCCCCTGTCACCTGCTGCCCGGCTGGATATCTCCCTGACATAGGTGCGCTACTCAGAGGCGAAAACCGACTGGTAGTAAGTGACTTCAATGCGCACCACGATCTTTGGCATTCAAGCCTGGCCAATGATCGGAGGGGAAACATTTTGGCTGAGCAGATAGACGATTCGACATTCTGCACCATGAACGACGACGCCCCCACCAGGATTGTGGGTAGCTGCAGCAGCTCGCCAGACCTAACAATTGCTAGCGCTGGTCTGATAAATAGCATATCATGGCGACCTATGCTTTCGTTAGCATCAGACCATCTGCCCATAATCATCTCGATCAATAAGCCCACCGACTTTGCTCCCGCGGATCACTGAACCTACACCAACTTTAACAAAGCTGATTGGAACGGCTTCGCGGAAGTTACCGAGAGCAGCTTCGCCGCCCTCCCCACACCCACAGACGTACATGCTGGCGAACGCCAGTTCCGCAGGGTAGTCACTGCCGCAGCAGCTCGCTTCATACCGTACGGACGCATCGCGGAAGTCCGCCCAAATTTCCCGGCTGAAGCAGCTGTACTAGCAAATGAGCGTGACCACCTACGCCAGGTCGACCCCGGGGACCCTCGCTTGAGGGACCTTAATTTGGAGATTCGGCAACTGGTAAATCAACATAAGCGGAAAAAGTGGGAAGAGCACTTGAAGGCCTGTAACTTCACCTCTGGTGTGAGTAAGCTCTGGTCAACCGTGAGGTCCTTGTCCAACCCGACGAAGCGTGATGACAGAGTGGAAATCTCATTCGAAGGTCACGCCTCATCGGACCCGAAGAAATGCGCGAACTATTTTAGTCGGCAATTCACACTGCATCCTTCGGTAGACAAGGCCAAACGTCGAGTGACCAGGAGGCTGCACAAACTGCCCAAAAACAGTGCACCACTTGTTTTCACCAGCGGTGAAGTGAAGGGGGCCATCGGGAAGGCAAAAGCCTCCAAAGCCATTGGACCCGACGGAATCTGTATGCTGATGTTGAAACATTTGGGGCCCGTGGGAGTAGCATACCTCACGGAGGTCCTCAATTTGTCTATGACCACTCTCATCATTCCTGATGTGTGGAAATCAGGGAGAGTGGTTCCACTGCTGAAACCGGGGAAGCCCGCCAACAGAGGAGACTCTTATCGCCCGATAACGCTCCTTTCCCCGGTCGCGAAGGCACTTGAGGGCCTGCTGCTCCCATACTTCACCTGCCACCTAACCCCAGCGAAACATCAGCATGGCTTCCGTAAAGTGCACAGCACAACAACAGCACTTAACGCCATAAACACCCAGATAACTCGTGGCCTTGTCGTTGGACTTGTCAAAGGCGTTTGACACCGTCTGCCATTCCACGCTGCTAGAAGCCATTGAGGCCTCCTCTCTCCCACAGGGACTGAAGCGATGGTCGGCGAATTATATGAGTGGTCGACAATCATCAGTAATCTTCAGAGATCAAACCTCGAAACCAAAAAGAATAAAACAAGGGGTTCCACAAGGTGGTGTTCTCTCCCCCTTACTCTTTAACTTCTACATCTCGAAACTCCCCCAGCCTCCTGAAGGAGTTTCCCTGATCTCGTACGCTGATGATTGTTCGATTTTGGCGTCCGGGAATGGAATTGATGACCTCTGCTCAAAAGTAAACGGTTATCTCTGCAGCCTTTCTCGCTTCTTCACTGCAAGGAGCCTAACCCTCTCCCCAACGAAATCAACGGCGACCCTCTTCACCACATGGACGAAGGAGGTCAAGCTAGAATTAGGCATTCACGTCGACGGCACACCTATACCGACGGTGAACAACCCAAAAATTTTAGGGGTTACCTTTGATAGCCTGCTCTCCTTCTCCGCGCACACAACCGCAGTTGTCAACAAAGTACAGAGCCGCAACAAGGTCCTCAAGTCGCTCGCCGGCAGCACTTGGGGCAAAGACAAAGAAACGTTGCTGGCAACATACAAGGCAATTGGCCGGCCGGTTCTAAATTATGCAGCGCCTGTTTGGTCACCGGGGACTAGTTGGACGCAGTGGACGAAGCTACAGACTTGTCAGAACGCCGCACTCCGGACAGCGACTGGGTGCCTTCTGATGACGCCTGAGCACCACCTACACAGCGAGGCCCAAGTGCTCCCCGTAAGGGAACACAATAAAATGCTCAGTAAGCAGTTTCTGGTGGGGTGTCACAGAAGCGAACACCCTAACAGACCACTGCTGGAGGAGGAGCCTCCGCCCAGGCACGTCAGGGGGCACCTATTCGTGTACAAGGACGCAGTCCAGACCTACACAGACCAACCACTGGACCCAATGACGCACAGACAAGCGATTAACGACATTCATAGGGAGTCAGTCTCCACCTACCTCGACTCCAGGCCTAGGAATGTCGTTATCGGAGCCCAATCACCACCTGTGGAAGAGACGTAGCTTCAATTACCTAGAGAGACCCGCGTTACTCTGGCTCAGTTACGGTCTGGATATTGTAGCCGCCTAAACAGCTACCTGTCCAGACTCGACCCAAAAATCCAAATGAGTGCCCGGCATGTGGAGACCCCCCCCACGACACCAACCACCTCTTCACATGCCAGCTCAATCCGACTCAACTAACACGCCTCTCCCTTTGGTCCGAACCCATCGAAACAGCTCGTTTCCTGGGCCTACCGTTAGTTGAGCTCGACGATAATGATTGAAAAGTTGACCCGAAACAGGCGGGGCTTAGTAGTGCCGCTACAACAACAACATGTCATCGGCATAAGAAATCAAATTAAACAGCAAAAAATTTTACCGAGAGATAAGCAAAATAATATGAATCTATACTAAATGCACAGATACTATGTAACTAAGTACATATGTATATAATTTTAAAATATTTTTCTATAGTTATACACTCAAACATTACACAACGCTAAAAGAAGCAATGTATCGCATCGACATAACTGAAAACTCACTTGATTTTGCTTAAACTAAACAAACCTGCAAATAAAGACGTAGTTAAAGAGAAAGAGCACATAAAATTTCACAAATTTACAACTTTTGCTGGAAACTAAGTTAGTAGTTAACGAAACTACACCAAACAGCCGAGTTCAGGCGATTGAAAAGCGCAAGAAATTAAAATAAAAGTAAAAATGAAAGGAAATAACTAAATACAGTGCAATAAAAAATAAAGCGTGCTTGTAAAATACCGCCAAACACTTTACTTTCAGTTGATTTGCATTTTTGTATGTTTTTGGATCCAACAGCAGCAGCAACAACAACAATACTAAACGCATGCAAAGAGTGAAACCTCAAATGTATGTGAACTTCAATTGTAGCTCAGTATGCAGCAAGCGTGCCAGTTGTTGTTGTGGATTTTTGTTGTTGCACACAATTGGAATATAAAATAATAGCGAAAAAAGTACTGGCTAAAAACAATAACAGAAATGAATAAGATTAGTAGTCTCTGTCGGATTTTAATTGAAAAGGAGTTCTATGGTCTTTGGGAAATTGAAAAGGACTTGTATGCAAATATACGCAGCTTTAGATAAAAAATATGTGGTGTAGCCGTCTAAACAAAACGCGACATAAAAGCATCAAATATAGTACAAGTTTCTATAGTTCGGTAAATACTTCCACCAAGTAAGCACTAGTGTAAACCCAAACAAAATTTAAAATAAGCTCAAAATTTTGAGCCTTGACTGAAATATAAACGTACATACATACACATACATATCAAGGAAATCAATTTATGGCAAATGATTAGGCGCTGAGATTAGAATGACTCGCCGCTTGAGAGCGCTTTGATTGCCATCGAGGCATACAAGAAATTTGATGTTCATACATATAGATATATATTGTTAAACTTAATGCAAGCATGAAATGGGCACATCGTTGGCGCCGTCGATGAGGTAAATAAAACAATGATAGTTAGGACAAGTCGAAAGACGTCAGCGCTAGCTAACAACAATATTGAATGCAAAACAAAATAAAGCTAAAATAGAGCAAAATGGAACAGCAATAGCGAAAGCAGAAGCAAGGACCAATGCACCAAGCTCCTTGCAGCTTCAGTCGTCACTAGCAACACACATTCATACGTACATATGCACATAAAAAAACGTTCCCTCCCCCTTGAATCCACTCACTATTCATACATTTATGCATAGCGTTCAGTCACTCCCTTGCCCTTGTGACAACAACCCCACCCTTGGTACCGGATTCCACCCGCAACCCGAAATGCAGCACATGTGTTCCGCAAGCAAACTGGGTCAAAGCAAAACGTTTGTATTGTAGACGCAATCACAGCCGCAGAGGCAACATACAGCGCGTCAGTCGCATGCCCCAGTGATTCAAGGACGAATTAAGTTAAGGACGCTTATACCTAGCTAGTATGTATGTTTATTTGTATGAGCGTCGTTTACGTTGTCATGTTTGTGTATGTGTATGTTGACTTGCATGCTGCATCAGCAATAGTAGCAGCAGCAGGAGCGTCATCAGTGCAACATAACCAACAAGCATCCTTAAACCACCCAATTTTTCTATGCAATTATCAGTAGGTATACATACATACATATGTAGAGAATAATTAAAATACGCACTCACCTGCTGCAAAGTGAAGAGGTGTCGACTTTCGTCCAGCGGTGTCGCGCGCATTCACAGTTTGTGTTGTAATGAGCTTCTTTACCTTTGCAATGTCACCCGTCTTACATGCTTCGAAAAGCTCTCGCAATGGATCATTGGCCATTGCCGCATCGAGGTTTACATTGAGTATTGCGCGACTGCGACTCGACATTTTGGAATGACTGCAGTGCCTAGGTGCGTCTAAAGTACGAATACAATTGCAATGATTGTGATGCTAAATTATTACTTTAGACAATATGCAGTCGTCTGAAAATCACCAGTCCAACAGCAACAGCCGCAGAGCAAAAACAATGTACTTGTTTAGCAACTAATAACTTTTCCAGCTTTGTGAACTTAAAAACTTTGTAGATACATCGGTATGTACATACCCGTATGTTGTTATATACAATGTCGTTCCTGTGGCAATCAACGCAGTATGTAGATCCAGAATGCTTACTGCTCCACACCTTTTTCTTTGTATCCGTGACTGCAGCCACTTTCCAACCAGAGAAACACAATCCTTCACTTGCCTTTTTATGACTTTCTTTCGTTGTCTACCCTTTTGTATGCGAACTTTCCCCAACCACACTGCGAAAACACTTTTTCTTTGCACTTTTTGCAGTTAAACACGGCCTCGCCCGTTTTCCAATGAAAATTATAAATTTTATTAGATTTTCTACAATAAAATCGATAAGATTTTCATTTTTCACAATTTTTTAGCAACTGCAGCACAAAATGGATAACATTTCTACCGATTAGTCGAACGTCCAATGCTGAGCAAGGCGCATCAATTACAGGTGATAGCGAAAGAAGCTATGCTTCTTCTTATGAGCACGCTTGTGTCAAATTATCGTCTGTTTTGCTTTATTTACATCTCCGCGTATACATACACATATACGTCTATATATACCCTGCAAACAAATGCTCCCGAAATCTTTAAAAGTGTCGGAAATTTGCTACGATTCTTGTAGAAATCTTTAAAGAAAAACATATGAAGTGGTTGACAAGAACTAGTAAAGAAATTTCTGTACGATTTCTTAAAGTAAATTATAAAAAAAATTGTGAAACCTTTCAGAATTCTATGAAATCCTGGTATGCAGGGTATACATATACATACGAATATTAATAGATAAAGAAGATGTTGATGACACAAGGAGTTCATACCAACGGTAAATGTTGTTTTTGTACGATTGCTACAACCTGTAGTTGTTGAATCATGAATGCTGAGTTGAAAAAATCACTGCAGAAAACAAGAAAAGTGCACAAATGAAGAAAAAAAATTGGGAAATCCGTCGAGCTGCCAGCTGTTGAGTATGACTCATTTGCATTCAATTATCGTATAATATACGGCAGTAGCATTACTAAAGCGAAGGTAATGTTTAAAATTGTTTCAAGAAAATTTGCGTGTGTTTTTTAAGTGTTAGTTTATTTGCAAAGTCTACTTTTTATGTACAAATTTGAAGGAAACTCGTCGGGTGCTATTTATTCGGGATTTTATAAGAGCGCGATGTGGCAGCACTTGCTATCGAAGAAGGTGGAAAAGGAACTGTTTTAAAAACAGAGCTGCAGAGTTGCAAATCCTCATTTAGTACAATCACATATTTCATGTAAATTATTTAGACGAGCAATATGAATTCAAACTTTTGTGTGTGCGCAGTTTGATGGCTTGATAAAAGCATTTGCCGCATGAAGCCACCAAACAACATTCTCTCAATTTCGGTGTTTGAAAACATTTAAATCCAAAAAAACTTGCTGAATAATTTCCGAAAACGTAACCATCATTGTTAACCCAATGGGGAACAGATTTTTATTTAGATTTAATATCAAAATTTTATTGTTGTTACCACCAGCACGCTTTCTTTCAAATGAAAATATGGTTGTCAAACTATCAAATTGCCAGCAATAGATGTCAAGTAATAAGCGCTGACATATATTGCAGCCCTTGAGAAATAGTCGCTCTCCATTGGAAATATGTATGTATACTCAGGCCGATTCGGAACAGAAACTCCCAGGGAGTTTTCTCCGATTTCCCTTTGCTCCTATCATGAATCAAAATTCTCTGAGGATTTTTTACCTTAAATGGCGAAGTTGAGCTGTCAAAAAACTTTCAAACAGCTCTTTCGAAGTTCGAATTTCCTCCTCCCAAATTTACGGGGAAAATGCTATTCCCTGGGAGCTCATTACTGGAGAATTTATTTCTCGGGAGAAACAAATTCCCGGGAAACAAGCTCCCCGGGAGTATTCAGAATTGTGACATGGTTATCCCGACCTCCGTGTATTCCTGTAGAGGCAGGGCCTTAGTATGTTTCCAGTCAAGGACTATCGCAATCGACGCAATTAACTAAACATAAATGATTCTAGTCTCATGATTTTTGTGTATGCAGTGATTATTTATTAGTACTAAATTTTCTCAGCTTTCTGCTGGAAAGTAGGTAACTCGGGTATTTTTTAGAAGTAAACAAAAAAAAAATGCATTGCAATGCACGATAAATGTCAAACACAAAAAGCATAACCGAAAAGGGCAAAATGGCGTTTTTTGTTGGTGAGGAATTTTCGGAAAAACTTGTTTTGTGTCAGAAAAATTAATAAAAATAATTGCAGCAGCATTTAGTGAAAAAAAAACAATTAAAATTAAAAGGAACTTATCCGTAACAAAATGAGATGTAAAATCAATGAAAATGTTATGCATTAAAAGCAACCAGTTAAATGGAATTCGAAGTGGATCGTGGATGGAACGCCCTCAATAACATTCCTCACGCTCTTCTCCAATAGACATACAACAACACAGGTGTGCACAATGCACAACTAGAACTTGTCAAGTGCAGTTTTTGCAGCACCCAACATGAAAACAACAACAAAAGAAGTGACGGGGCAATAATTGGTAGCAAGAAAGGGAAACATTTAATCTTTATTGTGGAAAGTGAAAATTTCTGCCAAGCTTTTTTGGGAAGAATCGATATTTTTAACTTTCGTAGTAATAACAACAAAAAATTGTTCAACAAAAATGCATTAATAAAACTGCATAAAACATAAGCGAAATAAAAATAAAATCATATATGTACATATGTACATATATGAACTTTATGTAGAAATATACACAGCAAAAAGGCACACATAAATGCGGCTGCATGCATGCGGCTAAGAATCGAAATGCACTAAAAAAGCAAGAACATTGGTAACCGTAATAGCAACGACAAATCTATTTCGCTTCACTGGAGCGTTGCGTCGCAGCGGATTCGTGGTAGCATTGGCTACAGCAAGCAACTATTGTTAGTTGCTACGCCACACAGCGCTATATAGTTGAGGTGCAACGTGCACGCGATCAACGCTACTACGGCTGACGCTCCCATAGATCATGCTTTCCTAATGAGATACAATAAAATAGATTTGAAATTGGTGCATTAAAAGCAATTAGCGCTCCACGATGGAATTGAAGGTATGGGTGGAGGGCATACAACGGATTGTATGTGGCGTTACAGTGAATACAACATGTCAGGTGCGTAAATGTGAACTTTATATATATGTATATACTATATTTTAGTAATTTACAACTACATAAAAATAACACAATTTTAATTAGTTGAATCGTAAATATATTAAAAAAGCTTATAGTTAAACATACATATATGTTCATACTAGATACTAAATTTGATATTTTTTATTTGAAGATATGTAAAGAGCCTTTTAGATGTGGCAAAGCAATATATTTCGAAAAGGCTATCAAACTGAGAGAGTTCAGAGTATTTCGATGTGTGAACAGCCAGAAAACCTTTCTGTAACATTTCGGAAATCAGTTTCAGAAATAAACGTTGCAAGATGTGACTGCAATTGAGAGGGCGCAAATCGATTTCGGAAACATATTTCAACTTGTTCGTGCTACAATAGCAATCTGCAATTTGCCTTTCGGGAACCTCTTTCGAAAGACACTACATGCAAGGTGTGACTGAAATTTCTCATTTTGACAGCCTTTTCGAAATAAATTGCCACGTCTGACATGCTCTATTGCTACGTCTGATACGCACTTAATAATGATTGAATTTCTAGCAGAAACTGCTATATCCAATCAAATATTAATGAGCTTATTATTACAGTTTATCCATATGTACAAGCATAGAAATTATTTAGCTGATACATAACTAGTTTGTGGTTGGATATTACTTTTTATCTCGAAGCATAATTTCAATGAGATTACATTTTTTCGTTATGTAGGATGTGGTTTTCGCGCTGGCGCATGCCACTGGCAAAGTAGGCCGTTTTACACTAATAGAACGTTGGCGCAACAATGAACGCTTGCTGGCGCCGAATGAAAATCCGCTTAAGCTATTGATAGAATGGGGTGAATATGCCAATGATGTGCAATTTATTCTGCAGCGTTCGGAAAACAAACAACAACAACAGACTACACAACAGCAACAACAAACACTACGGATGGAAAACTCCGTTGGCAATAACACTAGCAACAACAATAAGAATAACAACAATACTAATCCTGCAGCAGCTGTGATGTTGAGAAAGCCTTTAGGCTTAAGCAATAACAACAACAATAATAATAATAATAATAGTATCAGTAGTCATAGCAATAGCAACAGCAATAATAACAACACGAATAACAGTAATTATAATCAGCAGCAAACAAAGCCGCTCCACTTGTCTGACCTGGATACAAATTTAAATATATCGCCACACTTTGATAAAACACGTGAACTGAAGAAGAAGAGTTTTGGGTGTGTAAAATTTTTAATTTAAAAAAGTTTGTTATTAAATTAACAGTTTTTCTTTTGTTTAGTGCCCACGATGCAAAACACATTGAAAATATTGGAATTGTAAAAGGAATTCCCCAGCGCCCCAATAATAATACTGCAAATACTAATAACAGTAATATTATTTCCAACAACCAACACCGAAATGTGCAACTTCATAAATCTTCACCCACACCAACCAATTCACCACTTTCTCCAAACTCCATACGCATCTCTCGCTCACCTATTTCCTCAACCGACAACAATAATTCATCGCCCCTACCACAGCTTATACCGCGCCATGAAAAATCACATTCAAACCCCACAGAAATGTCCAGATCGCATACTCAGAATTTTTCTAGCAATGCTGGTTTTTTTAATAGCTCACCGCAGACAAATGAAGACAGTAACAACAACAATAACAATAACATTTACCAACAAATTGGCTCACAAAATAGCAAATCAATTAACGAAATTAATTTGGCCGTTGTGCGCGAATCGCTGGATCGGCGCATTGCCGCTGATAGTCCGGATGTGCTATACGCTACGCCACACAGCAAAAGCTTCATTAGTGGTAGTGGCGTTAGCAATAA